AGAGGGGGGCCCCCCCCAGCCCTGCCGTGGCCCCTTCCTGCCGCCACCTGCCCACCTCCCATCCTTACCCCTCTCCAGGAGCCTGTCTTCAAGCTGGACCCTCGCCACACTGAGGATGGCAAGGGGAAGAGCCCGTACGACCCCCGGCACACAGCCGCCTCCGTCCTCTTGGGTAAGGGAGAGCTTGGTGCTGGGTGCAGCATGGCAGGGAGCTGCCAGGAGGTCCCCTGTAACACTTCCCTCGGTGCCTGCCAGGTGGGGAGCTCTACTCTGGGGTGGCCACAGATCTGATGGGCCGTGACTTTACCATCTTCCGCAGCCTGGGCCGGCGTCCCTCCATCCGCACAGAGCAGCATGATTCCCGCTGGCTCAACGGTCAGTGCTGGGGAATGGGAGGGTGGCAGGGCGGCTGCCGGCACCCTGGTGCATCACAGCTGCTCCCTGGAGGCATTGGGGCAATGAATCCTCCAGGCTCAGCTGTACCCTGTCCTCCACTGCCTTCAGAGGGTGATTTCAGAGGTCCTCATGTTCCCTGCTGACCCCCGATGTCTGGTGGGTCCCATCCTCACTGTGCCTCTGTCCTGCAGCTGGGCAGGGTTGGGTCTGCACCCTCTTGGGAGCCTGGCAGGTGTCCCCAGGTCCCTGGGGATCAGAGCACTGGAGTCATAACCCTTCTGTCCCCAGAGCCCAAGTTTGTGGCCGTTTTTTGGGTGCCAGAGAGTGAGGACCCCGACGACGACAAGATCTACTTCTTCTTCCGCGAGACAGCAGTGGAGCGGCAGCAGGGACTGGGCAAGACCAGCTTCGCCCGCATTGGCCAGATCTGCCGGGTGAGAGCATCTGTGGGCAGGTGGGCTGGGAGCCAGGATGCCTGGGGTGCCACCTGCTGCTGCTGACATTGGTGCCCTCCTTCCCCTGACAGAATGATGTGGGCGGGCAGCGCAGCCTGGTGAACAAGTGGACAACCTTCCTGAAGGCTCGGCTTGTCTGTGCGGTGCCAGGACCCGATGGAGCGGACACCCACTTTGATGAGCTCCGTGAGTGCAGGGGGATGTTGCACCCTGGGGTAGCTGTGGACTTCTCTGGCGTATCGGGGCAGGACTGATGCCCTGCCTGCTTGCAGGGGACGTTTTCCTACTGCAGACAAGGGACAAGCGCAACCCTCTGGTCTACGCCATCTTCTCTACCTCCAGGTCAAGCCCCCTCCCCACTGGCCCACCCATACCCAGTGTTGCTCCCCTTGCCTGCTCACATCAGCCCCTCTCTCTCCCGGCAGCTCTGTTTTCCAGGGTTCAGCCGTCTGTGTCTACACCATGGCCGATATCCGCCGGGCTTTCCTGGGCCCCTTTGCACACAAGGAAGGTCCCAACTACCAGTGGGTGCCATACCAGGGGCGTGTGCCGTACCCCCGCCCAGGCATGGTATGTGGTGTGGGGATGTCCCACTGGTGCCACCAGTGGGATGCCAGTACCTGGGGTGGGGCAGTGGGGTGAGAGACCCCACTTAGCCAATGCTATCTCCCCACAGTGTCCCAGCAAAACCTTCGGTACCTTTGGCTCCACCAAGGACTTCCCAGATGAGGTGATCCAGTTTGCTCGACACCACCCGTTGATGTACAACCCTGTGCTGCCACACAGCCAGCGCCCCCTCTTCCTGCAAACTGCGGTGCCCTACACCTTCACCCGCGTCGCTGTGGACCGTGTCACTGCTGCCGATGGCCACTATGATGTCCTCTTCATTGGCACAGGCACGTGGTGACCCCAGGGCTGGGGCAGTGGGAACAGCGGGAGGATACTGGGGCTGACCTCACCCCTCCCTGCCCGCAGACGTGGGCACGGTGTTGAAGGTGGTCTCAGTGCCCAACGAGAGTTGGCACCGCATGGAGCCATTGCTGCTGGAGGAGCTGCAGGTCTTCCAGGTAAGTGGGAGTCTCTTCATCTCCCCAGTCAGACCTCCACCCAGCACCCCCTTGTGCTGCCCATGCTCTGGGTTGTGCCAGGGCATTCCCTCTGCCAGGACACAGGTGCCGGCAGCTCGTATGCCCAGGTACCCCCACGCACTCTTAACTCCTACCCGTGCTCTGCTCGCAGGATGCCTCTGCCATCATCAGCCTGCAGATCTCCTCCAAGCGGGTAAGGGGGGATCCTGGGGTGTGCCTGTGTCTCACTCACCATGGCTCTGCCTAGCCCCATCCCACAGCATGGGAATGCTCATCTCTCCTTCCCAGCACCAGCTTTACGCTGGCTCAGCCACGGCATTGGCCCAGCTGCCCCTGCACCGCTGCAGTGCCTATGGCAAAGCCTGTGCCGAGTGCTGCTTGGCCCGAGACCCGTATTGTGCCTGGGATGGCACCACCTGCACCCGCTATGTGCCCAACACCAAGAGGTAGGTGATATGCCAGGGTGCAGTGCTGGGGTGAACAGCCTGCCCCAAAGCCACGGTGAGGGGCACAGGTCACACTGCTGGAACACTCGCTCCTCCACCACCTTCCCACAGGCGTTTCCGCCGGCAGGACATCCGCAAGGGTGACCCCAACATGCTCTGCTCTGAAGGTGAGCTGGGACTCGGCCGGAGGTTGGGGGGCAGCCTTGCCGTGATGGGGGACTGACAGCCAGGCCATGTCCACCCACCCAGATCCCCGTCGGGGCAGTGTGCCCCAGAAGCAGCTCTATGGAGTGGAGGGAAGCACTGTCTTCCTGGAGTGCATCCCCAAATCCCTGCAAGCCCACGTCCTCTGGACATACCAGCGCACACCAGATGACCCCCAGAGAGAGGTAGGCTCTCCCTGATGAGGTGTCACTGTCAGGACCATGTCGTGCCGTGCCATACCAAGCTGACCACTCATCCCCATGGGTGCTGCAGGTGCAGATGGACGAGCGGGTGGTGCGGACGGAGCAGCGGTCAGCGCGCTGACGCTGGCCTCTACCTCTGCCACGCCACCGAGCACAGCTTCACCCAGCCCCTGCTGCGGCTCTCCCTGGAGGTGATCAGTGCCTGGCAAGCTGCAGGCATGGCACCTGCTGGAGATCCCCAGCTCG